GCCCTTTGCGGACACTTTAAAGTTTCTTTAACGTGTTGACAGAAAGTCCTCCACTGGACCTTAACCTGAGCCAGTTGAACCAAGTCCAAGAATTTCACGCCTATTTTCTTCATTATTAACTTTCGTTTCATCTCCCCATCTATGTCTCTGTCTACAGAACGATCCAGTTTCTTCGCATTTCTTCTTTAATATTCCTACCGGTTTCTGAATACGTGCATGAACTACAGCTTAATGGCAAAGCTTATACCAACATATGCTCGAAGTAAAGGTATGCAATATGTACGTAGGTCGATTTGTATTGTGTGCAGTTGCTATTTTGTCTTTTATTTAAAAATGCTTTATCAGCTACATTAGCTACATACAGTCTGTGAAACAGTGTATAATTATTATGAATGGTAAATTAGAAAGAATACATAAGTAAGTGGTTGTGGCCTATTTCAAGATAAAGGCAAGAACTTGTCGGAGGGAGTAAGAAAACCACGAAAATATGAAGTTAGCTAATATTGGGTCCAATATTCGAAATAATTACCTCCAGAATGCAAGGCAGGAATGATGATGTTACATCCTGTTGACCACTTTTATATACCTAAGCATAGAGCCTACATATGTATATGTGCATGTTTGTATCGTCTTAAATATATATGTGTAGGCCTATATACATATAGGCCTGTGTGTTCTACTATCATCGGTTTTCAAAAATTCAAATAAAAGATTCAAATTTTATCACATTTGCAGTTCATAGCCAATGTTCGTTCCTCACACGTAAACTCATGCAACGCAACAAGAAAGGACACCCAGCACCATGAAATACACGAGCGCGTAAATGGGACTACATATCGAATATTAAGTCTCACAAAACAGAAGCAGAACAATTTTCACCAACAATTTTAAGCACCTTATGATAATCAATGTCGGTCGAAACATGTAGTGCAATGTACAGAAAGCTCTTAAATAAAGAGACTCATTGTGTGTATTCAAGAAACTTTTAAACAAGTTTTAGAACACATTGCAAGTAAGAAGGTGAATCAGTGACATTGTTGGATAATTCGTAACAGAATCACGTTTAATCACGTGTTTAAATAAGACAAGAAATGTTAATTATTTTAATATCAGGGCCACATACGAGAATCTGATTCAATATCAACACAGATTATTTTCAGTGTATGAAAATTCCTGCAGGTAAATTATTAGTATAATAGGCAATAGAAATAAGAGATTTATTAGCTAATTTTCCCTCCAATAAATATTCCTCTTTAAGGTCACAGTATTTCATTCAATACTAGTTTTTACCTGACCAAAATCTGGATTGTTCTCGGCTTTCACTGTTGTGTGCTCTAATTCCAATAACACCATTGATATTTTTGGGGTGATTGTCTTCACCTCCAAAATATCATATTTCTTATGATTACTAGGTCAATGCTTTGGATGATTCGCTATGTATATAAAGAACTTATGACCTTATAAACCGTAACATATGATTCCTACAATTTTCCACTAATGACGTAACCTGGGAAGTTTCGAGAAAAATGTGGAATGACTGAGAGAGAATTAGACAAAACTTCTTAACAGTAGCTTATTAATTTATTGCAGAACAAGATTTATATCTTGTTAACATGAAATTACATAACATATAATGCTTAAAGCATTGAATAATTAATGATCTGGGGTCGCTTATGTTTGTAAACATTGTCTTGTTATTTTATTAATGTTAATTTTTAAATAATACTTTTAATCTTGAAATATATCTGCTATTAGTAAATCGTACGCATGTTAAACTCCACAAAGAGATGCAAGCAATTTTATGATGATAAGATTAACTAAGTTCTAGAATATATGGATTTGTTTAAAAATGCACTGTCCTAGAAACTCGAGATAAAATTATATTAATTTTCAATGATTCATCTTTAATGGGGAAATTAATATTCATTCACAGATATAAGGCACAACCCATATTCAGTAAAATATTTCTGCAAGATTTTGTCCTTATTAACTTTACACTGAGTTAACCTTCTACTGCAAAGTCTCGTCAACAGAATTACTAAAGAGAACTTCCAAGTAGAATGACAGACAATCTTGTAGTACAGAGGCATAAGAATGATACTGCAAGTATAAACTTAGTAAAAAGCGTGTTTAATAATGCGTCTTTACTGCTTAATAATACATGAAATCCGTATTGCTTAAATTTTGCCAGTATTTATGCATTTTAAATTTTCTAAACAACAAGGCACCTAATGAAGTCGATAGTTGTACATTTTCGAGTAAGGGGTGTATCCTTCCCTAAGACTTCCAGCCTCTGTTGGGAAAGCTGTAAAATATATAATTGCTAAATTCGCTAATAAAATCAGAATATATTCCCTCTTATTCCTCTCAACCTGTAGGTGTTTTACTGAGAAATATATTCAGTTCACAGATCTAAAAAGAGTAAGTTACACCCCCGTCGTAGTGAGTTTGAAATAATGTCAGTTCTAAATCTATTAATATAGATTCATTTCAGTATCTAATTAATAATCTATATTTATTATGAATCTCAAGTTCCATAGGGCCTTTGTCAAGTTCCAAAAAACTGGAACACATTCTTACGAAAATATAGGCCGAATGATGTGTTTTCCGAAGCCGTTCACTGTACACCAACTAAAATAATTATAGAAAGGCGGAGTCCAAACAAAATGAATAAGAAAATTTTCATGTGCAATATACTTAAATTATTCAGATAGAACTTTTAAAAAGATATGAACAAAATAGGGCCTAAATAAAACCATGTATTCCTTCATGAATCTGAAACTCCTAATGGATACAAGTCTGAGATTTTTAAATTAATATTTTAATTATATTATCTCTATCTGTACTTTTGTACTGAACAATGCATCTAGCACAGGCAGCTTAAGTACTTTAAAATGCTTCGAATTATTTTGAACCGAAACATTCTTAAACATCACAGATCTGTAGAATTACAAACAATAAGAAAATACAATGTGACTAATATTTATACAAAAATTTATGTAAACATTTTCAGCAATATAAATTGTAGTATTTTCCCTGATCTCTATAGTCGAAAAATGTTTCTGAAGATACAAAATATTTGACAATGTCAGGGACGTCAAGAAAACTATACGCTATTGAGTCGAAGTTCTCTTTTTCTTTAAGAACTGGAATAAGGGGACCAGATTTCTAAACGCCAGTGACCGCCACGTTACTGTAAAAGTCAGCTTTTGATTACTTTATATATAAACCTTAACATAAATGGCAACAGCAGGCATAAAAATCACGAAGGACCGAAAGAATTTGCCAGTTTAAACAAGTCTGTACCAATCATAATGAAACAGGTCACGATTTTACAGATCCTTTAACGTAAATTGCTCATTGGGCTGAAAATTTTCCATTTCCGTTGATCTGAATCAGGGGATTCCGTAACAAATCTACTAAAATTTACATCAATGTTGTCTCCGCTTAAGCTGTAAGTTTAGAAGTCTCGAACATATTTACATGGTGACACATAAAATTTCGAAGTTACATTTAGTTAAATCAGTAAATTGTGCAAGGTTTTTTAGATTTTATGGTTTAGGATTTAGTTTTGTTCCTTAGGGCACTTCATTATGAACCTAACTCTCTACTCGCAGAATCAGTTGCCTCCGATCCATTTAAATTTCGGACGAAGATTTAGGTTACAAAAGTAACTTCCTTCCTCTACAAACAGCCAAATGTTGTCTCAAAGATGTAACCCTCAACTTGAAGGACGGTGACACAATGGTGCGCTGCTTAGTCAGGAAGATAGCGCAACTCGAAGAGGGATAATATTGATAAATGAGTATGTTGCAATGATGGAATGATGATTAGCAGGGGAAAACACAAAGAGATATTTTAATGCTACTTCCCCCATGATAGATCTCATATCAAGGCAGCCAGGATTGAACCCAAATTATGAGGTCAGATGAAGGAGCCTAAAGGCCTGGGGTAAGGCACAGCCAAGACTTCGGCGAACATTGGATTTATATGAGCACGGTAAGAACAATGCTTTCGAAATCCGTAAATAATGGGCCTATTTTCATTTCCGACGAGGGATTGAACGCCAGGGAACAGTGTTTAACATTCCTGTGTCGTATTTGAGAGATCGTGAATTCATTTCTACTCCGCAACCACTATAAAATGTCTTAAATTTATTTGCATGTTCTTTGTATATTAAACAACGTTCTCAGTTTCTCAGATTGTATGTTGCGGAATGACAGGATAATCAGAAAAAATTTTATTTGAAAGAATCCGAAAGAAAGACGTTGAGTCCAAATTTGGTATATAATCCCAGAATTTTTCAGAAAGAACCTTGGTGAAGATAACCGGTCTCCGATCAGAGGTTTGAAATAGTAATCTCCAAAATACAGGGCAGGTGTGCTGCATTCCTGACAGTGTCATTCGGTAAAATTACTGACATTTTAATGATTTCCTCCAGTTTTTCCTGGAGAGCGTTGCGACAGTACCTTAAAATATGAAGCGGCCGTTTCATGCACATTCATATTTCATAATACACAATCAGCTCCTCATTCAAGTCTGTAAGATTTATCCTTTTTTAGAATTAATTTTTAAGTAAGTCAGAAAAATAAAAAAAAAATAAAGATTTTTTTTTCTAATTTTTTCAGAATTTTGTATTAACTTCTAAATTGTTTTAAATAACCTTATAAATCTTTACGTAAGTCTGTATCAAGAATTCTCTTTGCTTGGTGTTGAAGATTCCTGCCCATGACACAAGAGATTTATGGAAATACAAAGAGAACATATACTTCTCAGTCCAGTAGTTGCGCAGACGAAGGTGCGCATACATAAAACTAATGTCAGTCAATAAACCTGTCATGTCATCCTTTGTAAACAAAATCTCGTTGCTTTATAATTATCAAAATTCACTATCCTAGCCCAGCCGAACCTGTCACGTTTTATTTATTGAAGAAATAATTATAATTACATTAATTTAATAAATGAAAATCGACTAGAATAATAACAGAAATTGCACTTACCTACTCCAGCGACATGAATCTTCTTCATCCATGGGTAGATGATGCGATCCCCGGACTCTGAGCTGTCATCCTGATCCAGTTCCAGCTGCTCATCATCAAGATCATCTTGGTCATCCTCATCGTCCAGCCTGTGTTGCTGCTGAACCAACTCCTGCAACGGCAGCTGCTGCTGTTGGTTTTGCTGTATCACCTGATGATGAACTGCAGTAGGCGGTGATGATTCACTGTCTTGGTGTGATACGGCTACCACAGACGACGGACTTAGGTCTCCATTGTTGGCAAGAACATTCGTTGCCTGGGGAACACTATTCGCACTGAGTCCTGGAAGAATTGTCGCCGCTGCTTGCTGCTGGTGTTGGATTCCGCACTGTGGAGGTTGCTGGATCGAGGGAGGTGGCTGTGCTTCTGGAGGCAGCGCAACCGCTGCTGCTGGGTGGTGATGTGGATGAATGGTGTTGTGATGAGGATGTGGTGGAGGAGGTATCTGATGGTGATAATAATTCCCATAGCCACCATAGCCTCCAGCTGCTCCAGTACCTCCATTAAGTTGAACTGTTGTCGCGGTTGTAGCACCGTAAGGCGTACCTGTTGCCTGATGTTGATGATGATAACCATATTGATGGTGGTGATGGTGATGGTGGGTAAGATGGTGGTGGTGATGGTGTCCGGTGCTGAAGAAATCACCAGCTGCAGTTGGTATGTAGTTACTCTGACTATATTCTTCACTTGGGGGGAATTTTGGATCTACTACAACAGCGGCTGCCGTGGCGTGATGCTGGTGATGATACGGTGATGAGGACGAGGGTGATGATGATGACGAAGATGTTGCCGATGTCGGATGCGGCACTACTGCCGATGATGGTAAAGATGTTGCCACAGTAGCTGAAGACGGGTTCATCAAAAACGAACTCATGATCATTAATTTTTCTCAGGGTTTGGGTTGTCCTTCGTATAACAGCGAAGTGTAGTTCGTTTTCGATGAGGAGGAACCGAACCCAGTAGTGGAGGTGGTAATGGCGGTGGAGGGGGAGAGAGATTTACTGTTCAAGTGCTGAGGAGAAATTGCCTGGCGACACAGAGAGGAAGGGGAGAGGGTACGAATTATTTTTTAGTGTCTTCTCTCTCTTGTGTGCTTATTCACTCTTTTCTGTCGTGTCACTCGCGATTTTTTATTGTCTATTTACCTGAATATTCCAAATTCACTGGCTCTGGAAGTAGGATAATCACCGTGCCTTACTTTTGGGGGATTTTGAGTATAGTGAAGAGAAACTTTGTCTCTCCCCGTTCCACCATAAAAACCTCCACCCTTCGCATCATCTCCCTTCTCCACAACACATCAAAAAGAGAAAACCCCCTACAGCTGATTTTTCTCCCCTCATCCGCCCCTACTTTTGGGTTGAAAATCTCTCCTCCTCCTATTCCACGTTCCGACTACAACTAAAAAAAGTTCCCGCCCACAGCACCCAATTAGCATACCACGTGACCTGCCCTCCGACCAATTAGAACGTTGCAACGTCACCGACCATGATGGATTACCCTCGGCTACCTCGACAATGTAACGACTATGGCGCCACCACCAGACTGAGTGGCGAGACTTGGAACTAAAGTATCTGTCTCTGTCTTTTGAATTCTGGTTGTGTTGAGATCTGGGTGGTGTATAAAGGAGTGAAGAGGAATGGATTTTTTATAAGGGTACTTTTTTAATAGAGGGTGGCAGGTTGCGGTGGTAGTAGTGATGGTGACGGTGATTGTGACTTCAAACTACGCAAGTTTTAACTAGTAGGAATGTTTTAGGTGGAAGTTGTGTATTTGCGTTAACCGTTAGAACCTTGTAACATGTCTTCATGCCCAACACGTATCAAGTTGTGTTTGTGACTACTAACATTCACAGCGTGCTCTATTTGTACCCCAACTTCTGAAAGAAGGAACAATTGATGCCCACTAATGACTGAAGATGAATTAGAGGTGTGTTCAATGTAAATTATATGTTTCGTTGTTTCACATTTACCTTCCCCTCAAGAAATCACACTTCCATATCCTTCGGATGATAAAAATTAAACCTAAAACTCTCATACACATAAACACTGAAATATATTCCAGTTACTGAAATGTGTTCACTTTCCGATTAGTTGCTGTTTAGTAATATTTTGTATTGTAGAATGGTCCACAATATTCTTCAAAATTTCAAGTTCACCACAAAAAATTACAGTCCTCCTTACAACTGAACTAACATCAGACTTGTTATTGTAAAGCAATGTCTTTGTAGTATCTAAGCCATGTTTACATACGAATTCCAAGATGCAGTTCTTCTTACTGTTGTCATTACTTCCCGTGAAATACGCAGCTGTGGACAATATTAAGCATCTTGATGTAGTAGAACACTCAATTGTTAAAAAAGCCACACTCAAGATATGTCAATGAACAGGTGGGAGCCGACACATGCCAACACGTTTCGAGCAGACAGAGAGAGTACAACCAGACAGCAGCGTCGTCGACAGAAGTCTAGCACGATGTGTGAGAATTCTCAGCGCCTCCCGCTGAAGTTTGACTGAAACAACATATACGAACCGACTAACTACTCTCTTTGGCCACGGCCATCCAACTCGTCACTTTACACGGTTTTCTCTCTCACATACTCGCTCACACATCACGACAAACTGGTATATACCTCTCCCACTGTCTCTCTTTTGCTGTGGTTGTCTGCCTAACTGACACACTTCTCTTTCTCCCCTGTCTCTCATTCTCCCGCATGAATCCTACACATCCGTCCCTTTCTTCATCCCTCTGTTACCCATCATCCCCCACTCACCTACCCTGTCGCTCTCCTCCAAAACCCACCCCTGAAGAGAGCTGTCTGTCAAGCAAAGCTAGAGGAGGGATGGTTGGTTGGTTGGCTGGTTGGTTGGTTGGTCCAAGATGTGCAGCAAGATTCCTCCTATAACAGCACCACCATCATCATCATCATCATCATCATCACCATCATTGATGCAATCCCTGAAGACCATAGCATTCTCCAAAAGTAAGGAGGAATTTGATGGTATTGCTTCGAACCTAAATATTCGCAACTTGATTTCAAAGGAATTTGTTGATAATGTGTGATCGAAAAAATGCCAAGTCCTACTTGTGTAACTGAACATTCATTTGTCACCAAAAAGTTTTTGAAAAATGACTTATTTTAAAAGTAAATTTTAGCTTTCTATTAGGGTATTAATTTACGCATCATTATCACAACACCTATGAAATTACACTAATTACACGAATCTGTCCATTTGTATTTGTGTGAAATTACAACTGAACACTTCTGTTCTGCGATCAACATATGAGAAAGCAGCTGAAAACTACAACCAAGATATTAAACAATAATTTTTAAAAGTGTGTTTCTTAATGAATCCGTGAATGTAAGTGACTCGTAATTTATTCTTAGCCAACTCGTGAAACAAACTTGCCTCGGGCTACCGGGTGACCTATTTTCAAACTGTGATGATTCAATTCAATTCAGAACTGGTCAGTTCTTTCTTTATTTAAGTTCTGACTTAACAGTCCGCTAGCCAGTTACTGAGCAGGTTCAAGTAAAAAGTAAAGGAACAAAAAGACGAAATAAAATTACATCATTCAATAATAGTAGTAATAATAATAATTCAATTAACCAATGTGAAAATTTCGTTAAGAGGCTAGGAAAGAAATAAGTGTCTATATTTTTGGAAGGTAAAAATATATCCTTGTGTTTACCTAATTAAGCACTAGGTTATGAAGGCGTATGGGGGATTGGATGTATATATTTTTGTACTGAATATAATTAATATTTTAATAAGTAAGAGGGTACTGCGTGTAATGTAAAATATGACTTAGAGAAAAAATTTTGTTTAATAATATTACAAG